TTTGATACAATTTCCTAGTTTACCTGATAGTTTTTGGGTTTTTTGGGTTTTTTTGTTTTTTTTGGTACCCAGGATCGAACTCGGGTCCTTGTGCTCGAGAGGCAGGTGGTAGAACTACTGAGCTAAATCCCTGGCCCTACCTTATAATTTTAATTGCATGCTGGACATTGTGTATGAAAAATATAGAAGCTTTGGGTGAAGCTAACTTTTTCCAGGTAGGTTTTAAATTTCTTCTAAAAGACATGTAACATCTAGGCAGATCTCCTTGATACAGTCAGGTCTAAACTATGCCCAGTCTTTCTTTATTCCCAAGGCATGGCCTGTTCTGAGTGACTGGGAACTTACCAAGACCCATATTTCTCACCAGGCCCCAAATCCCAACTCTTCCCCAGCCTCGTGAAACTGCCACAATCCCTTCTTGATATTTTAGCCTATCTATTGGCATGCTACTCATTCTCAACGACTTGACAGATGATGGGAGGGGAACTGCTTGCACAGTTTCACTGATTTTCCTCCTCTCAGGGACTAGATGGCTTGGCTGTTGTCTCGTGCAGATTTTAGTTTTATTCAGTTGCTCTCAGTAGGAGGGTTAGTCTGATGTCAGCCATTCCAGAAGTGGACGTCTTCTCTCTGTGTGCTATTTTATGAAGCTTATATGTAAAATGTTATGAGGTAAGTTGATCATCAAAAAAGACATAAATAGAAATATAATTGTAGCCAGGCATGGTGTCATATGCCTGTAATCCCCACACTCTGGGAGGCTGAGGCAGGAGAATCACAAGTTGGAGCACAGCCTGGGCAAATTAGTAACCCTGTCTCAAAAGAAAAAACAAAGAAGAGCCAGGGATATAGCCCACCGTGAAGGCCCTGGGTTAAATCCTGGCACCACGGATAATAACAATAGTAAATTACCACCCACGGTCACTTCACCAAATTCTTGCCATCCCTGGATACTCTTCCTTCTTATAGCCTCCCCCTTTCCTTCAGGACTCAAACTTATGTTTCCCATCTCCATGAATTTATCTGTGCCCTTGTGACACCTGCACGCTCACTCAGTGACACACACTCGCTCAATGTGGTTTGGAACGTGGTGCGCGCTGTTACTACGCACACCCCCGCCCTGATCTGCTGGTTTTGTTTTTTGTGTTTTGGCTCTACTCTCTCTCTGTGACCATCTGTTGCTTCGTTGCGTGCGCCAGAGAACGAGTCACGTTCACACCGAGCCGTCACATCACGATTTATGTTTTCCACCCCCCGGATGACGGGCGGGTAGTGTGTTTCTGATTTTCCTCTGTGGGAAGCCATGCTACTGTACCACTGTGCGCACATCTGTGGAGAGTTTCTTCCTGCTGTGTGCAGGAGTGGCCTCGTGGGTCCCCAGAAGGCGCGGATTTATGCTCACTAGATCATGCCGAACCAGTTCCCGGGCCACTTGCATTATTCACATCCCACTGGCTTGAGTGAACCACGTACAGCCTGGTACAGCTCATGCGATGCAGTCAGACTTCTGCGCCCTGCCAATCTGATAAAAATGAAAAGGTCTGTCGTTGTGGTTTTTATTTGCATGTCTCTCTTCGCTGTGAAGTTAGGTGCGTTATGTTCGTGACACAGCACTTACTTGGGTCCGGCTTTCTACTTCCCACCATTCCCCGAAACAGGGCAACTCTGAGGCTGACTCCCAACCCCAGACACTTCTTCTTGGTGCCGCAGCCTGTGGGCAAACACCTGGGCGGGCTCCCGTGGGGCAGTGCAGCCGGTGTTCACAGCAAGCCTGAGGCAGAGATCCGTCGCCCTGCTTTTTGGATGAGGAAACAGCCTCACAGGAGGTCGGTAGCCAGTCCAAGGACACAGGGCTGGGATCTGGCTCCTCCTGCACAGGCAGAGGCTCAGGGCACCCCAGTAAGCACCCCTGGGATCCCCTCTGTCCTCCCTGAGGAGGTGCACCTGGGACCTGGTCTGCCGCTGTTGCCCGGGAGGGAGCAGCCCTGTGAGCCGGGTTCACTGTCCTGGATCCCGCAGACAGCCAGAGGGCTGTGCCTGGTCCCTCCTCTCAGTGATGGGGAAAGAGCGACTGCTGGCTCTGAAGGGGCAGGGCAAGACCCAGCTGGTGTGTCTGAGATGCTTCTGAGGCTCCTTCGTCCCCTCTTGTACACAAAGACAAACCCAGCCTCCAGCTCCTACAAGTCCTGGGCAGGAGGTGGGGTGTCCATCCCACCGCTTTCTTCCGCTTTCCTCGAGTGTGACTTTTACATCTCATTGTGCTTAGTTTTAGGGCCCCAGAAGTGCTTGAGTGACGTTTACCGCATGCCAGGCTCTGTTCACGCGTCTTATGAACGTGACTGATTGAATTCTCCCAAGGGCCTCTGCGCGGGCTCCTGTCATTATCACACCTCACAGGCGAGGACCTGGGTGCCAGGGAGTTCAGGTGGCCTGAGTGGTCAGTCTGGCAGTGGCAGCGCCGGGCCTGGACAGTCTGTTTCAGGCAGCGTGGCACAGCTACCTCTCCGTTTCCTCCTAATCACCTGTCGATGGGGGTGATACCAAATTCTCTTTTGAAACGGGTTTACTGGAGTGCCCAATAGGAAGCAAGGTAAAGATAAATAGCAAGTAGAACGCAGTGCCACTGAAAGCCCCGGTGATTGTGTGAGTGGCAGGAGTTCCGGAACATTCCAGCATGGCTGCAGGGACACAGCAGGCAGGCCAGGAAAGCTGAGTTTAAAGGATGGGTGGGGGCGCAGTTGTCCAAGGAGAGGACTGAGCTCATGCAAATGCAGAGTCCTCCTGGGGCGCTGGGGAGTCATTCAGGGCAGCCGGCCAGTAATAGCAGGAATCCCAGCCCCGTTCTGGCACTTTGCAGTTCATGAGCATTGTCACATCTGCTTGCCCACTGCCTATTCTTAGCTGCCAGGTGCAGAGGACAACACTGTTCCCATGGCAGAGGTGGTAACTGAGGTCAGTGGCTGATCAGAGAAGAGCTCTCATGCTCTAAGACCCACTGACCTGAGTCTGGACCCTATTCTCCACTCCTCAATACCAAGTATCTCTGATGGCAAGCAACAGAAATGTAATTCAGTGCTGTTGAGCAACACATGGGGCTTGGGGGCTCATATAAATGAAGGTCCACATGTGGGGGTCAGGTATGGCTGCATCCAGGTCCTCAAATCCTTCCATGGGCATCTTGGGTTTCCATATCTCAGTATTTCCATCCTTTGCAAACAGGCTCTCTCTAAGAGTGGACCACAATGGCTATAATGGTTTCCTAGCAGAAACCCAGGACTGTCTCATTGATTGGCCTTGGGTTCATGCCTTGTACTGAGTTAATCACTGAGTGACAGTGGAACCCTCGGATCAGCCCATTCTATGGGCAGGGGGTGGAGTCAGTTGCACCCCAACTACAGAGATGGGGCCCCAGTTTAAGGAGCACTCAGAAGGGGAAAGGATGCCAGGCAGACAAGGCAGCAGGTGCCCCCTCAACATCCACAGGAGCACTAGGTGAGGAATTGGGGGTAAGAGGAGCCACACAGCTCGGCAACGTTGGTTGTACTTCTTCCTGTGGTGGAGATGGAGCCACTGGGGAGTGACACAGACAGAGCTCTGCTGGGCCCAGGGCTGGGTGGGGGTCACAGAGGTGGACGTTAGTGAGAGGCAGATGTGGCCCCGACAACAGTGGTCTGAGGTCCCCTCAGGCCTAGTAACAGGGTATCAGTCCGTTTTCTGCTGCTATAACAAAGTCCCTGAGATCTGGTAGTTCACAAAGCTCCTCAATCTCGCAGTTCTGGAAGCTTTCAAGTCTGCATGAGCAGTGGCATCTGCTCTGTACCTGCTGAGGGCCTGGCCCTAGCAGCCGGGGGCCGAGGAGCCTCCTGGAGGGCACAAGTGGCCAGTGTGGGGGTCTCCCCACCCTTCTCATAAAGACACCAGTCCATGGCAGGGCCTGCATCGACTCTGCCTTACCCTAAGCTCCAATGCCAGCAACTTGCTGACTGGGAACACATTCAGACCAGAGCAGCCCAGGCGGTATCTGCCCCGCCCGCACAGCTAACTGGGAGCGCTCTGGCCCATCAGCCTGCACCTCTCCCGTTGCCTCTTTGGTGTCAGCGGGAGTGCAGTAGGATCTAGGGGAAGCCTGGTGAGGGGTCGTCTTGTGGGTTCTTAGGGGATCTGGAAAAGCCACACCGAGCATGACAGCCCCACGTGGGGCTCTCCGGCCTCCCCACCGGCCCCCGACTGCCTCTCCCAGACAGACCCAGAGCTGCTGGACTTGGCGTGCGGAGGGCCAGGCTGGTCCTGGCTGCCCACCTGGGCGTGGCCCCTCTGCCCAGAGTGTCAGGGGCTGCTCTCCCCGGAGATGCTCCCTCGGGTGCCTGGACAGCCTTGCTCCATGTTGGTCAGAAGTGGAGCAGCGGCTCTGTGTGGCTGGCCTCGATTTCCTGCTGTGCTCCTCGGGGCTGGCCTGGGCTTGAGACAGAGTGAAAAACCTCATAATCAGGCTAAGTTTACCTTAAACTTTCAGCAGCCGTGTCCTTCATGGGCTGGACTTGGATCTGTTATTCAGTAAAAAGCCAGTTTACCAGGCCATGTTACCATCCCTGCTCAGCGGCCCAGAGGACTCAGGCTGCTGTTCGGTGGATGCTACTTTCCAAATCAGTCAGTCCTCCCTCCTCCCTACCTCCCATGCACCGCACCACGGGCAGGTGAACTCCACATGCCACAGGCTCAGCAAGGACTGCAGGACAAACAGCAGCCCCTCCCTGTGGGGCCTCTCACTGTGACTGTTAAGCAGGGCAGAGGCAGGTGGGAGAGTGGGAGACCAGGAAACCAGACTCCTGTGAGGGGCAGGCAGCCTTGGGGTCACCCACAGCCCCTTGGACGAACGGACCTTGCTTCCTGAGACAAATGCTGGAATCTGCAGCGGGGCCTAGGGAGGTTGGACAGGAGGGAGGCTGCCCCCGACCTGGCCACAGACTGGGCTCACCCTGGGCTGGGCTGTGCTCTTGCAGCCCCTGCAGGCTCGGGAATTCAGCATGCAACCGCCTGGCTGGGCTGCTGCCTTGCTCCTGCTGCTGCTTCAGGGCGGTAAGTAGCTGCCCCGGGTGTGTTTCTGTGTGTGTGTGAGTGTGTGTGTGTGCGCGTGTGTTTGTTTTCTCCTCCCACAAAGCTGAGCAGGGGCTGGAGGCACCAGTCAGACCCTGTGACCTCCACCACCTGAGGCTGATATGGCTCCAGGGGCCGATTCTCCCCTCACAAGAACCCAACCAGCCCGAGAGCCCCACTGACCGGGAGTGGGGTGCTGGAGTCTCAGGGAGCCCGACCCATGGGTTTGGGGCTTGGGGCTCCCTGGGGAGAGGAGAGCTGTCACTGCCACCGTCCTCTTCCCCAGGCACAGTCCTGCTTCTGCTCTGAGTTCGTCTCTCCTTATGGAATAACTCTTCTTGGAGGTGTTTCTCTCCCATCCCTGGGTCCTCAGCAGGCTCTGGTGCCGCCCCAGCAGGATGGAGAAAGGAAGACAGGAGTCTGCCTGACGTGGGAGGGAGGCCTTCCTGGAAGAGGTGGCCGCAGAGTCCTCCGGGCAGAGGGAACTTGGCCTCTGCTTGGCTGAGTCAGAGGCGTGTTCACTCTGATTGGTCCCAAGAGACCCAGCGCCCCAAATAGCTCCTTCAGGAGACAGCTGTTGGGCTTTTATTTTCCCACCCTGCCTTTGGATAACCTGCCCCGGCTCCATGGCCTGTGAGAGCTACCGAGGCCCTGTGGTAACGGACGTGCCACCCCAGGGTGCAGGGACCCAGACGTCAGGCCCAGGCCTGCAGAGGTGCTGCGTTGAGCAGCCTCCTCCCTAACGCATGCGCACTCGGCGCTGCCAGGAGCCCGCGTCCCAGACCTCAGCGTGAGGCCCCGGGAGTCCAGGGCTCTAAGCGCCTCTATCGCCGCCCTCCAGGATGGGGCTGCCCAGACCTGGACTGCTACACCGATTACCTCCAGACCATCACCTGCGTGGCGGAGATGTGGCCCCTCCGCTCCAGCACCCTCACTCTTACCTGGTAAGGCCCGGGGATGCCACAGACCAGACAGCTAACCATAGCACTGTGGCCACTCGGCCGTCCCGTCCGGCTCCCTCCAGCCTCGGCTCTGTAGCTGGGGCCACTGCGCTCTGGCACTCACTCCTGTTTCAGATGAGGGCGCTGACGCTTGGGGCCAAGTGGCCCGGGAATGGTGGGGCCCTGCTCACGCCCCGGCCACCACGCCCGAGTCCACAGGTCCTCTTTGCCTATGCAATTGTATAGTGAACTTGATAGCCTCCCTGAGCAGAGAGAAGGAGTTCAGAGTCTAAGGGTGCTTATATACCTAGAATGTGTGAGGTGAGGTACCAGAGAGGAGACAGAGCTGCACACAACAGAATGCTTAAGTTTTGCAAAAGAGTCCCTGTGTGCTGGGCACTGATTAACACGTTAATGTGAAAACAACTAACTGAAGTCAGGGACAACAGCAGAATGTAGTAGGCAAAATAATTCCACAGCTCACAAAGAACCACTGCATTTCCACGAGCCAGAGTGCAAGATCTCTTGACACACGGGGCATCGAGTAGAGTCCCAAGAAGAAGAGCAGTACGTCTTAATGGGACTGCAGCAGGCTGAAGGGCAGTCGCTCCTCACTCATTCGTTACTCCAGACGCATTTGTTATGTTCCTCTGACGCCCGGGCTCCTGCCTGCGAGGCTCCAGATGTCTCGGAACTGGCGTGGCACAGGGAGCAGCCGGGCAGACGGATGAGACAAAGAACAAGAACTGGGGGTGGGAGTGGGAGGAGGGGCGGGGAGGGCTCTCTGGCCAGGGCGGCCAGGGCTGGGCTTGGGGATGGAAAGTAGTGGCCACTCAGTGGGGAAAGGCCAGGCCGGGCTGGCACATGGCACACACAAAGGCCCTGTGGGTGACTCCGAGGAATAGCAAAGAGGCCACATAGCTGAAGGATATGCCAGGGGAAGCAAGCAAAGGAAGCAAGAGAGAGGCAACAGCTGGACTTCAATGCGGGAACAGACAAGAACTGCTGGGGGGTGTTAGGCAAGGAGATGACAGGGAGGTTTTCAAGGGCCTCCCTGGCTGCTGTATGAGAGGGATAGATAGATTTCAGGGATCACAAAGCCATTACAGTGGTCCAGGCTGGATGCTTAGAGAGTTTTTATTCAGTAAGTTTCTAATCCAGCAAATTTAACACATTATCCATATTGGAGAGTAGTCATGAACTCCTATACATACTTCGAAACCCACTATTTCTACCCACTGGGAGTTAAAAGGCCAGAGCATTTTTCCTAGACCCATCCCACCAACTTTCTTGGGAAGGGACAGTTGGACCAGGTGACCCCAGGCCAGGCCAGTCCTCCCCACCCTGCGCTCCGGTCCCCTTCCCCAGTCCCAAGCCCCACTGGCCCCCACCGTGCCCTGCACTTCTGTCTCCCAAGGCAAGACCCAAACACGGAGCTGCAGGATGAGGTCACCTTCTGCAGCCTGCACAGGTCCAGCCACAACGCCACACACGCCAGGTACACCTGCCACATGGACGTGTTCCGCTTCCTGGCCGACGACATTTTCACTGTCAACGTGACGGATGACTCTGGCGGTGACCCCCGGGAGTGCGGTGGCTTCCTGCTGGCAGAGAGAAGTGAGTGGACTTGCCCCCACCCGTGTCAAACAGCTGGCCCACGCCGCCCTCCCTGCCCTCAGTGCTCGCTGTCCAGTTTCCCCATGGCACAAGGAGCCCGAGCTCCTAGGAAAGGCGGCAGAGGCTTCGAGGAGCCAGCTGGGCTCCGGGCTCTGGGCCCCGCTTGTGCCTAGCCCCTGCCGTCCTGCGGCTGAGCCCAGCTCAGCTCTGGAGTGTTCCCCTGAGTCCACACCAGAGGCCAGTGGAGGACCCCGGCCACAAGAGCAGCCCCTCAGGTCTCCTCCCTGTGTGATCTCCTATGAACCCAGAAATTTCCCTCCAGGGGCTCAGGCTGTATTGGGGAAGGGCCTGGGGGCTGCCTGAGGGGCGCGTGTGCACACTTAGCTCGGCTCTGGCTATGTGTCTGTCTGTGTGCGGGAGGTGTGAGCAGGCATCACACCCAGGCACGCGCGGACGGGACGCACCCCCACCAGGCCCAGCTCAGTCACCGCATCGGGAAGCCCGACACTGGCGGTGCTTCCTGTGCCACCGAGGTCCTGCAGGCATGCGCATGTGCAGACAGCCTGCCCAGTCCCGGACATGCGTGTGTGCATCTCCTCTCCAGGCGTGGGCAGTGCAGCCCAGCCTGCCCCGCAGCCCCCGGCCCCCCTAAGTAGCTTTCCCTGCTCCCCGTGACTTGGCCTCTTCGGGCCTGGGTCTCCCTGGCCGGCCCCATCCCCACCCCCGGGCCCGGTGAGCCTCACACCCAGCCTGGGCCACAGGAAGCGAGGGAAGAGGGGTCCGTGGGCTTGGGGTCCAGTGCCCATCGCAGACACAGTGCCCAGGATGCAGGCCCTCGTCGCCTCCCTGCCGTGCCCGCCACCTCACCCTGGTCGGCCCAGGGCGTTCAGATGCCGACAGGTCCACTTGAGGACCCACTGCGTGCCCAGCCCTGTGCTGAGAGCTGGAGCACAACTGGGACCAGGAGGACAAAGCCCGGTGGGCAGAGGGGCCTTTGTCACTGCCCCCTAATTACCCGGACCCTTCTCAGGAGGGGAAACTGAGGCACAGCACATGCTGCATCCCCAGTTCATCCAGCAAATGTGGAGAGGGGTGACACGGAGACGCGGGCTTTGGCCACCATCAGGGCCAAGGGACGCCCGGGACCCCGCTTTATTTCCCAGCCGCCCGCCCCCAGTGGCCGGTGATGGATCTGTCTAAATAACCGGGCAGCCTCGCCAGGCCAGGGCTCCACCCCTCACAGACCTCGCACCTGCAGCATGGCCTCACCCTTCTTCCTGCTCTGGGTTTTTCCTCCAAGTCAAGCCGGCTCCTCCCTTCAACGTGACGGTGACCTTCTCGGGCCTCTACAATGTCTCCTGGCATTCCGATTACTATGAAGACCCTGTCTTCTACGCACTGCGGGGCAAGCTGCAGTACGAGCTGCAGTATAGGGACCGTGCGGACCCCTGGGCGCTGGTGAGACCTGAGGGGCTGTGGGGGCCCCGGGGGCTGCGCTGGGGCGGGGGAAGGGATGTCGCGATCCCAGGATGCTGCGCAGGTGTAAGCCGCCCTATCCCCTCTCGCTGAGCCGGAGCCCTGCACAGCTCCTCTCTGGCCCTGCTTCCCCACAGGAAGTTTCCGGAACCTTCCCAGGCACTCAGAGTGGCCATCGGGGAGTTACTCACACAGTCATGGAGAGGGTCCGACTGTCCCAAGTTGAAGGCTCTGGAGGCTGAAATGGCCTGTAGTCAGAGCAGTCACAGCTGAAGAGTCCCAGGCTACCCATCCACTGTCCCCATCCCGGCTGACGGTTTTCATAAACGCCGGTGCTCAGAAAGTCGGCAGGGAGGATTCCCGGCGATATCCACTGACAGGAGGTGCCTGGTGGAAACTTCTGGAAGTGCCCACCCTGGTCACTCCCGACGTAGGTCACTGCACCTCCGGCCACTGAGGAGCCCCCTAGTGTCCGCTGTTTGGGGTGTGCCGGTCTGTGGCCACTCCCAGGACATTCTCCATCCCTGTGGGGAGGGTTACTGCTGGGACCAGGGCAGTGACCAGGGCCTGTCTGAGGCAGGCCGAGGCTGCCCAGCCCCGCTGTGGAGGAGAAGGGGCCCGGCCACTCCGACAGGGCTGAAGGCTTCTGTGGAAGCAGGGCTGGCCTCGGTGACCAGGGCCTTCTCTCCATCCCTTCCCGGCAGAGCCCGGTGACAAAGCTGATCTCAGTGGACTCCAGAAGTGTCTCCCTCCTCCCTGGGGAGTTCCACAAAAACTCAAGCTATGAGCTGCAGGTGCGGGCGGGGCCTCAGCTCGGCTCCTTCTTTGGGGGCACCTGGAGTGAGTGGAGCGACCCGGTCATCTTTCGGACCCAGCCTGAGGGTAGGTGTGATGCCGCAGTGGACTTCCGGGCCTGGTACTCGGTCCCGTCCTGCCCAGCTGCCCCAAAGGAGCTGAGACCCGCAGTGCAGCTCAGCTCCAGGTCCTCCTTGGCGGGCCTGTCACCTTCCGAGGCGCGAGACTGTCCCATTTCCAGAGGAGGAATGAGTCAAAACAGGTGAATTAGTCGGGGTCCCATTACTGTGACAGAATTCCCGAATCCCCAGAATCCCCCAGCGGAGGAAAGGGGTGATTTTGGCTCTGGGTTCAGAGGTCTCCGTGCATGGTACCTTGGCCCTGCTGCATGGCAAAGAGGAAGAGGAGGGACAAGGCCGCAATGTCCTGTTCAAGGACATGCCCAGCACTCTGCTTCCTGCACCAGCCCCAACCCAGGGTCCCTGCCAACTGAGACTGCCTTTTAACATGCAGGCCTTTGGGGGCCATTTAAGATCCAAGCGGTGGCAGGGTGGGAGCAGGATCTGAACCCAGGTCCCTCTCCATTCCAGGGACTGCAGTGTCCTCCTGTCTGCCCCACAAGCATCCGTGTGTCTGTGGACAGGAAGTCCTGTCAGACTCACCATTTGCTTTCTCTGCAGAACCCAAGGCCGGCTGGGACACCCGCCTGCTGCTCCTGCTCCTGTCCCTGCTTGTCTTGGTTCCCCCGGCCGTTGTCTTCGTGGGCCTGAAGATCCACCTGCCCTGGAGGTGAGGCCAGGGCACAGGAGATGCGGAGGAGGGTTCGCCAGGCCCTTCCTGGGTAGGGGGCATGCCCGGCCCATGACGGCGGTGACAACGGGGACTCACGGCCACCTCGTGCTCACTGCATGCAGGGTGCTCACGGAGCCCTCGGAGCCTGGTACAAGGGGAAGCCGAGGCCCAGAGCCCCGAGTCACACAGTGGTGGCCTGGAGGAGGCGGGGTTGAAACCGTGCTCTCTTTGGTTGTGACCGTGTCTGGTGATTTAAACTCTGAGCCTGGGCAGGCACCAGCCCTCCAGGTGGGCTGAGAGGCTGCTGGTGACCCCGCACCGGTGTCAGGGACTAGCTTCGACCTGCTCGCATGGGGAGGCTGTGGGCTGAGCCCTCCCGGAGTGGCTGCCTTTGGCACAGAGCTCTGGATGTGCAGCTCCAGCCACTCCCGTCCGCCCAGATAAGACCAGAGATGGGAATCGGCTGAGGGGAGCTGGGACACCAGGAACAGGCGCTGCTCTGGCTCAGCCCTGTGTGGTGCTGAGCACCGGGCACTGAGTGCCGGGTTCTCCCAGCCCTGTGGAGTGGCTCTGACCATCTCGGACTCAGCTGCGCCCACCTTACAGCATGGTGACTGAGGCCCCGGAGAAGGGAGGCCCTAGGCCGTGTCCTGGACAGTAGGGGTCCGGCAGGACAAAGGAGGCAGTGTCAAGGAGGGAGTTGTGCACCTGCTGGGTCAGGGCCTGACCCCACCCTGTCCCCCTAGGCTGTGGAAGGAGGTGTGGGCCCCGGTGCCCAGCCCGGAGCGGTTCTTCCAGCCCCTGTATGAGGGCCACAGAGGAGACTTCAAGGTGGGTGCCACCCTCTCTCGGATCCCCACCCCACCTGCACCTCAGGCCTGTTTCCCCATTAGCAGAGTGCAGACAGTGAAACCTGTGCTGCAGAATTGGCTGCAGGAGGGGCAGCCAGGGGTGTCTAGAGGTGCAGGTGACCCCTGGGCTTCTCTTCCATGTTGCTGTTCTGGGGTGGGAGGGAGGCAGTTCCGCGGAGGATCTGGCCGCCCACAGGACCGCCACGCACCTGCCACGGGCAGGATCACTGCCACTGCTGCCACCATGGGGCCCTGCCCACCACGCTGGGAGAGCATGTGGTGACTGGTGCCGTCAGCCGTCAGCCTAGCCAGCGCCGATGGGCTCCTGCTGTGCCGGTGTGCTCCCTGGGGCCCCAGGTCCCCCCAGAGGAGCCTGACGCTCAGGGGGACCCTGGGTTGTGCAGGTCAGGGCAGGGCAGGGGCTGCAGGCCCTCTCCTCTCCCGGATCTCAGATGTGTTGCCAGTTTCCCCAGGGTGCCTGTGCAGGGGCTCCTAGGAGCTCACAGAACAGCAGCCACTCAGTGGCCAAGCACCCCGGGGTGGAGCCATGGTACAGGCGACACATTGTACAGGTAGGGACAGAAGGGCTCACTCGGCCACACAGTGAGAAATGAGCTTCCGTCGGCGTGGGCACAGCACCACTCTGCACAGAGCCTCTCCAGGTCCCCAGGGACTGTGCCTGACGGAGGGGACGGCCACCGGTGTCGTGAGGGGCCCCACAGGCGAGGAGGGAGGCCCCAGAGGTGAAGGGCCACCGAGGCCCCCCCAACTGGCTGGTACTCCACGCATTTCACTCATCCAGCTTCTAAAACCCCGTCCGTGCCTCGGCTGGAGCTGTCCAGTCTCCCAGGGACGTGGGGACAGGAGAACACCAGGCCTAGAGAACCGTCTGCAGGCAGGGAGACAGAGCAGGGCAGGGGTCTGGTGGCAGAGCCCCAGCAGGCCCCAGTGCCTCCCACCCTGTGGACTCTTGGCCGGCGCAGCACGCCCAGGCCTTGGGTGGGCTGAGGACAGAGGCCCAGAGTGGTGACTTGCCGGAGGGGCCGCGCTCCTGGCTCCTCTCTGGTGCTGGCTCTGTCTGCATCCCAGCCTCGCTGCTCCAGACTGACCCTATCTTTCTTTCTCACAGAAGTGGGTGGGTGCCCCCTTCACTGCCTCCAGCCTGCAGTTGGCACCCTGGAGCCCAGCAGTGCCATCCATCCTGGAGGTGCCTGCCTGCCTGCCGTCCCAGAACCTGGCCAAGGGACTGGAGGTCCTGGGGCTGCCAGGGCCCACAGACCTGCTGGAGTCTGATGGGGCTCCTGAGCCCGGGCCCCCCACTGAGGCGGGCAGCCCGCATGCCTCAGACTACAGTGAGGAGAGGGACCGGCCGTATGGCTTGGTGTCCATCGATACTGTGATGGTGGCGGATGCGGAGGACCTGTGTGCCTGGCCTTGCCGCTGTGGGGACGACGGCTACCCAGCCTTGGACCTGGACATGGGCCTGGAACCTGGCCCTGGCCCCGAGGACTTGCTCCTGGGCACAGGGGCCAGAGTCCTCTCCTGTGGATGTGTCTCGGCAGGGGGCCCTGGGTGGGGATGGCCTCGGGGCAGCCTGCTGGACAAGCTGAAGCTGTCCCCAGCCGACGACGAGGCCTGGGCTGCAGAGCCACCCTGGGGCGGGCCGTCGGCAGGCGGCATCTCTGGGAGCGA